AAATTTCGTGCAAATCGAAAGATATTTAGGAACTTTGGTGCACCATTTACCTTAAATCGGACGAATATATATATATATAGGAGCTATATCTAAATCTGAACCTATTTTCACGAAATTTCGCACACCTCATAGGCTTAATTAAGTACGTTGTGCCATATATGGGAGCTATTTCTAAATCTGAACCGATTTTTCCCAATTTCAATAGGGTTCGTCCTTGGGCCAAATGACTGAGCTGTGCCAAATTTCATACAATTCGAATAATAAATGCGACCTGTACTTTGTTTACAATTTAACATGGACAGACAGACGGACGGACATGCATAAATCGACTTAGACGTGATTCTATGCATATTCTCAAAAGGAACCATGTGTCTATCTCGTTTCCTTTTGCCTGTTACAAACATATGCACAAAGACAATACCCTGTACCACAGTGTGGTGAAGGGTATAAAAATAATCAATCATTCCATATACGAAGCCAATTTTTACAAAAATTACAATATTTCCAATTTCTATCTACTATCCTTCTTCAAATAAAATTCACCTCAATCACAATTCTTTACACAAACAGTAAAAAATCTCTATTATTTATTTTCCACTAAAGTACATGTAATAAGAAAGGTATAAAACTTAAATACTACGATTACAAAGAAATCCTTTTGAAAAGCTTAATTATACTACGCCTTTTTCATTTTCTTATTAGCGTTGGCCAACTTGGCTTTAAGCGCCTTAACTTCCAACTTATTATCATGCCCATCGGCGGAACGTTTCTTTGCCGCTGACGACGGTGAATCTTCTGTAGGCGGGATAAACTATTTTTGACGTTTCTCTTCTTGTTTCTTCGCAGCCTCAGATCGTTTGGCATTACTCTCCTCCTCTTGCTTGCGTTGTTGTTTCTGTTCTTTGCTAAGGAAATATTCAGCCGAAGCCGAAGAATTGTTTATCGATTTTGCTTTCGGGTTGTGCCGGTGGGAATGGTGTGTATTCCTTCTTTTGTTTCTTAACCTTGGTTTGTTTACGTTTGCTGATATTCTTGTTCTAGAATTTGGGCAGGAAACGCGACCAATCCTCATTGGCCAATTTTGGATATTTTATAAGTTCCCGTTTGATCATGATTGCCTTGGTGTTGTAAATGGGATGCACATTGTTCATGGTATCGATGACAATATCACGAACCTGTTGTAGACCCTTATAGGGACCCAATGTCGAGACCGTGTTACCTTGAACCAAAACATAACAATCAGTTAAAAGTTCAATGGATTTCGAAGTGGCACCACTGGGACCAATTAAACGTTGATGTCTTTTGAAGAATTTTTCTTTCTACCAATCTCGTCCAGTAGCACACGTTTGGCCTGTTCAAAGGGTACACTATGAGCCATTAGCTTAATCATATCACGTGCCTTGATGACAATGTAGGGATCCCAGGTTTTACGTGTTGTCTTCACCACCATACTGCCTTCAATTAAATCCAGTTCAGCTTTCAGATAATATTCAGCAACAGCTTGTTGTACCAATGGCCAGACTTGTTTCAAATACCTCTCACGATATTTCGGGAATAGTGTGGCAAATTAACTCTCCTCCACCAGTCCATTTGGATTATCCACTGGCTTGAAGGCTGGTATTTTCATGGCCCAAGCATTTTCGAAGGGTTCATTTGTTTGCTTAAGCTCCTTTGATTCACTGCCACACCCTAATCGTCACTTCACTTTAAGTACCTTCGTTATTGTCAAGTTTTTCTTCTTCCTCCTTTGTAGCAGTTGGAACGTTTTTAATTTTGATTTGCCATTTGCAAACATCAAAGACATAGAAACGTAAAGACTTGACAAAATGCATTTTGGAAAAATAGTTTATCGAAACATATGTAGGGGGCACCTTTTCCCTCTTATTCGCGTTTTTATTATTTACATGCCTCTGTTATGCCAGAAGCCCCCTACATATGTTTCGATAAACTATTTTTCCAAAATGCATTTTGTCAAGTCTTTACGTTTCTATGTCTTTGATGTTTGCAAATGGCAAATCAAAATTAAAAACGTTTGAAGATTTTTGGTAAGTCTTTGAAGCGAGAATTATAAATGTTCATCTACTTTATAAGATAGCCCGAATTGACTTTCAATCGAATTGATTGTAATTCGGTATTTTGAATTTAGATAGGGTTGCAAATCTTCCCACAAAAAATATCATATAAAAATTTACGACAGCCCCAATATAGCGGTACCGGTATTTTGAGGATTATGGCCCCGTTTTTTATGCAAATTGGCTGTAACTTCGTTCTCGCCGTGTGTCAAATCGTCCTATCAAAAAATTACCATGGCACAACCAACGATATATATAAAAGTACCGATCGATTACATGTACTTTTAATGTCCAGATCATGGTGGCGAGTTAATAAGTTCGGCTCGGCTGAACTTAACGGCGTTTTTACTTGTTTGATTTTAAATGACGATTTCTTATGGATTGGATGTAAACGAAAAAATTGTTTTGTAAAAAAATATGTGCATTTTTTTCTTTGTAGGCTTGTAGCGTAAATTTACATAAATTCCTCGCTGCAGCCATAAAATGAAAAACAAAATATAATTTTTGTCGTTGCTTTTTGTGATTTAATAAATGACATTATCGATATGACTATCCAAATGATGATTAAATGACGATTAATCATTAAACACGTTGGGTATAAATGCTGCAATGGTTTAGCTAATAAATATATTGGCTATTTTTTTCTTTTTGTCACACTAAAACAGAATGTACATTAGAACTTTTTTAAAACCCACTGAATTTTCTAAATCCAGAACAATGTAAATGCCCTCTAAAGTAATTTCATGATAAAGTAGGCGACCTTACATCGAGTTCAGCACTACATTAATTTAAAAAAAATGTTCAGCTGAGGAACTCGATCTAAGAACTCATAATTTCGTGTAATTTGTTTCATGAAATCACTTTAGTGTGGCATTCGACTTTACAAGGCATATAAACGGTTCATATTTTGTATATTAATCGGCACTTACAAGGTAATCCTTTGCCAACATACGAATACAATTTTTTCATAAATTTGACTTTGACAACATTCTGCTTTCAAAATGTAAATGGAAATATTCTTCTTCGAAATGTACGCACAACATGTGCTCAGTGGCAAGAAGTATTTTTGTTACAAATTTTGAATTTCATGATCATTATATAATAATATACATATGTATATATGTAATAAGCATAAGTATTTGTAATTTTAAAATGGTTTATCCAAGAAAAAGTACGCGGAACTGTTAGACAATATTATGTTTCAAATATATTAAAAATATGCCACTGGTCGTGCACAAAAGTTTATGGTAATATTTTTTAATTTATTTGAAAATGATAGATGATTTCCAAATTTAAAAAGCGCTGCCAATACCGATATCTTTAATGAAACTACCTTCTATAATTATGCCATGGTTTTAACCTACATTATGGGGATTTATTTGGCATATAACAATTTAAACCCACTTGGTTACGGAATCCGGTACAATGTAAACGTACTATTAAATTTTTTGGACTGGTGGTAAATATACAAATTGTTTTATAATAAGTAATGTTAATTTATATATCTTCTTTGCAAATATAAGAAATAAATTTACATAATTTTTATCGTTGCGTTTTGTGATTTTGTAAATATTCTTTTCGATAGAGGGGGTGATTTATCCTCACTAGAAAACTTGAACAATTCCAACAAGATAAATCGATACAGTGCTTCATATTATGAAGCTTTAATGTGTAAATGATTACAGGTTATTAGTCGAAAGTAGTCACAATCGTAAATGGCTACCGGTTAATAAAATCAATTGACCTGCATCAACAATCATTTTGAATTCAAGCAGCAACGATACAATTCAAGCATCAACGGCGTACCTTTCTATTTTGTGCTATTAGCATTTTTTTTTCTTTTTACAAGGTAAGTAAACGTTTTATATTTTATATTATATTTTGTATTGAAAATGTTGACGACATTTTGACGGCTGGTGGTAAACAAACAAATTGTTTTGTAAAAATTATGTCAATTTATAACTTTGCATATGTATATATATATTTGCAAAGTTACAAGCCTACAAAGAGGAGACATACATTTAAAGCAGCCATAAAATAAAAAAATACACAATTTTTGTCGTTGCTTTTTGTGATTTAATCAATTTTCTTTTTGATAGGACGAGATTTATCCTCACTAGAAAACCTGACAAATTCTAACAAGATTAGAAAGATTACATGTCTGGCACATCCATAAAATTGGATTTTTAACTTCGCAGACAAATTAGCGGACCTTTGAAAATTTTTCTTTGAATTTAATCAAGTCAAGCATCAACTATCGGCGTACCATTGGTATTTTGTTCTTTATACAAGGTGAGTAAAATATTTTATATTATTGGCCTCTTCCCGTACTGCAAGAATGTACTATGTTTTACTATTTTTGATGTCATAAAGGAAAAATTCTTATCGTAGTAAAACATTTTACATTCTTTCAGGTTCTGGAACAGACATATATATTATATTTGTATAACTTTGTAAATTTGTCATTCTGTTTGCAACACCTTCAAATATTCTCCAAAGACCCCATAAGGTATATATTCCGTCTGTTAAAATCACGATATCGCTCGCAAGATTAAAGAAAGAACATATATACTACTCCTGGGATGTTTGGTATTGAAAAAGGTTTTTTTGGGTCCACGATTTGGTAAAGCTGCATATAGCGGTAGCCCCAAATTTTCGGTATTTTTGGAAGTTTGTTCAACCGAATTTGTTTTTGGTTTCTTGTTGGGCCGCAATTATCACTATCAAAAATTATCATAATGGTTCACTCTTTAGACGCCTACGTTGAAAAAACATTAAAAAAAACACGTATATGATGAAAAAATAAATTAATAAATCCACGCCTAAGTTGAAAAAATATAGACCAAAATATTCTCTTCTTACATGACCTCAAGGCTCATATAACAGATCATGTAAGAAGCGAATATTTTCTTCCATTTTGATTGAAATACCCCCGTAATGTAAAATTCGTTGTTTACGCTTTCAAACGATTAATTTAAAATAGAACGCATTTTGACAGCACTGATGAAATCATCTGGTCTTACTGTTTGACCTTATAAATGGGCCTTACATGACCTGTTAAATGGGCTATGTGTCTGACAAACCAAGAGAGTAATCCCCCGCTCTATTCAATTTCAAAGAGATCACACAATTGATAGTAACAGCCTGTGTTTACATAAAGTTGTAGATAAAATATCTGTGTGTAAAAGAATTCTTAAACAAACAAAAACACATTTAATATTTCTATTAAATTACAAAAATAACTTGAATTGCATCCGGATAATATTAAAGCATTTGAAAATCTTTAAGTGTAAACAAAGAAACCCAGCGAAGAAGAAATGCATAAATTTGATGAAAATGCACCGCTCAAAATCAGCAGCAGTGGTGGATGTGCTGGTGCCAATAAATCCAATTCAGCAAATGGAAAACCAAATCCTAACCATCCAACATATTGAACTGTACCGAAAATTTTCCATGAACCCTAAGGCAAAACCTACGCAAAAACGTCACAAGAACTGCTGGATAATGAGGAATTGAATACGTTGTGGTCGATATTGGAAAAATATTGTGCACAAGTGACACCAATGGGTCAGCAATTGATTAGTTACAACGACTACTTGAAAGTTGTGCAAGCTGCCACTGCCAATGTCGCCTGTTTGCCAAAGTGCAATGCCATTCCGGTTACCCCCTATTCAGTTCAGAGTTTCTAAGTTTGTACGGTGGTATAGTCTTTTGATGAATGTCGTACCTTTGATGGTGAATACCTTCCTAGATTTCGTTCTGTGTTTGCATAATCGTCATGAACTACAATCGTTACATTATTTGTTTCGCATATTAGATGTCCAGCACAATGGCTATTTGACTGTCCAAACATTACATTATTTCTTTAGTGGTATTCTTGAACAAATTCGGGCATGTAATGCTGTGGCGGTCAATTTTGAAGATTTAAAATATGAAATATTTGATATGGCAAATCAAAGGATCCGTATAAAATTACGCTGCAAGATTTACTGAATTGGTAAGTGAGAGATGGAACTTTGACAATGATATAGTTATACCCTACACAACTAGGTTGTATAATAGCTTTGTGCGGCCCCAAAAGTTTGTAACGCCGCGAAATATTGGTCCTAGGCCCACCTTTTGGCATATCGATCGTCATATCTCGGCTAGCTGAGTCGATCTAGACATGTGTGTCCGTCCGTCCGTCTGTCTATTATAATTTGTAAACACGATACAGACCACAGTTATGGACCAATCATCACGAAATTTAATATGTATTTCCGGTATTGGCTAAAGAAGACCCCTACTGTTTTTGGTAATGATGGGTTAATGTTTTGGGGTTCAAATGGACCAAAAAGTTTATTTTTGTCTATTTTTCTGGTCGCTCCAGAGGCCACAATTATGACCCAAACATAACGGAATTTTACTCGGAGAAGGGGATATGGTCAACGAATAAGTATAGCTGAATTCATGATGATCGGTCAATATTTAGCGGGTCCAATTGACCTCGACTTATGTGTGAAAAATAACATTTGCATTCTATGGCGTATATATTTACTCCAAAAATATTTTTTCAGCGACTATCTAATGCCTACAATTTGTTAATACTATCTGTTTAATCGACTTCCAGAGGCCTAGAATTGTTTAAGAATATTTTTTATAGATTACCGGAGGCATATAATTGTTAAATAATATTTTTCCGCTACTACCAGATACTTTCAATTTTTTAAAAATATTTTTTTATGGACTACAACATTCTAAGAATGTTTTTTTTAGTTCCTTCCAGATATCTACAAATTTGTAAGAATATTTCTCATCGACTACTAGGAGCCTATTAAATTTTTAGGAATATTTTATCAGAGACTACCAGAGACGTCAGTTTTTATACCCTCAGCCTTAAGGCTTATGAGGGTATATACACTTTATTACGACAAAAATGTGCCTCATTGAAATATTGGTTTAAGACCCCATGTTCCTTTGGACCAAATCCGTTTCAGACAATTTGGAGTCGATTTACAAATGCCCGTCCGTCTGTGTGCCTGTCCGGCTGGCTGGTGCGCACGATAACTCTCGAAGGCAGTAACCACTTTCATCCAAACTTTGCACATCGTAATATTTCTTCCAAACTTGAATCAAGTTCAAAGATGGGGAATATCGGTCCACTCCTGGTACCTCCCACACACAAAAAGTCACAATTTTGCTGAATATGAATTTTATAACATCATGCGAAAGGGTTATCCGATTTGAACCAAACTTTGCGCAAGCTAATATTTTAACCAAACTAGTATAATGTGGGAAGATGGGACATATCGGCCCACTTTTCCAGTACCTTCCCCACAAAGGGTCAATATTTTGGAAACTTATAAATCTTATATGAAGCGAACGGAATATCCAAATGCGTCCAAATTTTGTACTTCGCAATTTTTTTAACAATTTTGAAAATTTGTTAATCGAATATCAAGCCTTAACCCGAGATTTAGTGCAATTATTGGGTATATATGTCAGTCATATCTGGTAAGTTTGAAAAATTATAAATTTAAACAAAAAATACTTTTGTATGTTACAAACATATGCACAAAGACATAATACTCTGTACCACAGTGTGGTGTAGGGTATAAAAATATTTTGTCATCATCTACATGCTTCCTGCAATATGTTAATATATTTTTTCAATGTATACCAGATATCTACAATTTGTTTAAGAAATTTTGATCATTGACTACCGGAATCAAGAAAATTTGTCATCGACTTCTTGACAGAACCTTTCGTCCAATATAGGTTCATAAGATTTTTTAAATAGCTAAAATCTATTCATACCATTAAATTTGGATTTTTTAAGATTTCTAATGGAGGAGGGTACAATCAGTTATACCAGGCCTGCCTCATTGACATTTTTACACCCTACACCACACTGTGGTACAGGCTATTATGTCTTTGTGCATTTGTATGTAACATGCAAAAATATACGAGATAGACCCATAGTTACTTTTGAGGATATACGTAGAATCACTTTCTAAGTCGATTTATGCATGTCCGTACGTCCGTCCGTCTGTCCATGTATTATTGTTAACAAAATGCAGGTCGCATTTATGATCCGAATGAGATGAAATTTGGCACAGTTTATTTATTTGGCCCAAGGACGAACCCTATTGAAATTGGTGAAAATCGGTTTAGATTTAGATATAGCTCCCATATATATTTTCGTCCGATTTTACGATAGTGTACCAAGGACCCAATGTTCGTCAGATTGCCTCGTAATTTTGCACAGAGTATCGAATTTTAATATAGAATAACGTGAAATAAATTTTGTTTGTGCGATTTTGCAGAACGGATGAAATTGGGCCTAGAATGACCTGTGTTAAGTTTTGTTGGAATCGGTTCAGATTTCGATATACCTCCCATATATATTTTCGACCGATTTCATCTAAATGGTGCACCACAGACCTAATATTTATCCGATTGCGACAACATTTTGCTCCACGTACCAAATTGAGTATATTATAACATATGTTAAGTTTTGCTGAAATCTATTCAGACTTTATCTAAATCTAAATCCATATATTTTCGCCCGATTATACCTAAAAGGTGTACCAATGCCTAAAAACTTTGTCCGATTACGACGACATTTTGCATAACACTAGTTTTAGCCTTGAATGACGTATGTTAAAAGTTGTTGAAATCGGTTCACATTTAGATATAGCTCCCATATATATTTACGGCCGATTTCTCCTAAGTGGTGCACCACAGAGCCAAGGCGTGGATTTTTTTTTTAATTTATTCATTATTATTTCATTATTTATTCAAATAATATACAATAAATATACGCCTTCAGTTTGCCATTGAAAATCAGGACCCAGTCGTAATTAGGACCCCATGTGATAAAAATTTAAAAACCATCCTCGAGGGGCCTAAACTAGACTAAGGCCATTTTCTTCAATAAATCCACGCCTCAGTCGATCCTTGAAAAATATTCTTCAATAAATCCACGCCTTGTTTTGTATCAGAAATTTATTTTCATTTTCCAGACAAAAAAAAAATTAATAAATAACGCAGGATTTATTTGTTTTACATATATGTATAAATATATACATACATAAATAGGGCGGCCCCTAAACCAAAAAATTACATGTGTTGTGATATCGTTTTAACGGATGGAATTCTTGGTGTGGGCTTCATCTATTGTAGAATAAAATTCAGGAATAAAAAAATCACAACGGCAGCACAATGCCCATTCATATAAAATTTACTTCTATTCCCTACTGGGAACGTTTGAAGCAACAAATCCCATTTCATTGAACTATTGCCGATTACCAGCATTTTGGTAAGATTTGCACATATCGCTGGAAATGTCCTAATCAGAGGAATGACGGTGAAGCTACAGAATTACGAATTTTTAAGATTTTCATTCATGTTTTTAAATTTTATTGTGTAAATGCCAAAAATATATGTTTTTAAAATAAATAAAATTTTTGATATTTTGTGTATTTTGTTTGCATTTTACGACATATCAAACTGACACTAGCTTTGCATACAAAAACAATTTTCTATGTGTTTGTTTTTGTAATATTTTGTCTGGAAAAGTATTTTCTCCCTTACTCTCTCAAATGAAGTTACTGAGTAAATATTACTGGAAAAGTACCCAGACATACCTATTCTATACGAACTTATTCGAGTGCCTTACGACCAAACTCATTGGATTTGAAATATGTGTCATTTAATTTTGCTTTGAATCGAAATACATTTTTCTGCAATACTATTTTCAAGTACCAACTGAAGGCGTAGATTTTTTAAAGAATAATTTCAAGAGCTAACTGAAGGCGTGGATTTATTAACTAATATGTTCCAAGGACCAACTAAGGCTTGTACTTTTTATGAATATTTACCGAGGACCAACTAAGGCTTGTATTCTTTTATGAATATTTTCCAGGGACAAACTGAGGCGTGTATTTTTTAAAGAATAATTTCAAGGACTAGCAGAAGGCGTGGATATATTAACGAATAAGTTTCAAGAACCAACACTTAATTTATTTAATATTTATTCAAGCATCAACAGAAACCGAACATTTTTAAAGAATAGTTTTCAAGGACAAACTGAAAGCGTATCTTTTTTTAACGAATATTTTTCAAGGATCAACTGAGGCGAGTATTTTTTAAAAATATTTTTCAAGCATTAACGTAAATTTTTTATGAATTTTTTAAAAATTATTATTTAATGCTTGTATTTTTTAATGATTTCAAGATTTAAAAATATTTGTAAGAATCCTTCGACAAATATTGTGTAATAAATCCTTGCCTTCAGTTGGTCCTTGAAAAATATTCTTATATAAATCCTCGCCTTCAGTTGGTCCTTGAAAAATATTCTTATATAAATCCTCGTCTTCAGTTAGTCCCTGAAAATAATTTTTAATAAATCCACGCCCTTGAAAATATTATTTAATAAATCCACGTCCTTGAAAATATTATTTAATAAATCTACGCCCTTGAAAATATTATTTAATAAATCCACGTCTTTGAAAATATTCTTCAATAAATCCACGTCCTTGAAAACATTTTTTTAAAAAAATCAACGGCTTCTGTTGATGTTTGCTTCTTAAATTTTTAAAAAAGTTCACGCCTTCTGTTGATGCTTGATTTGTATACCTTACACCACACTGTGGTACAGGGTATTATGTCTTTGTGCATTTGTAAGTAACATGCACAAATAGACGAGATAGACCCATAGGTGCTTTTACAGATTTACTTAGAATCACGTTTTAAGTCGATTTATGCATGTCCGTCCGTCTGTCCATGTATTATTGTGAACTGATGCAGGTCGCATTTATTGTCCGAATGAGTTGAAATTTGGCGAGCCTGCTTATTTGGCCCAAGGACGAACCCTATTGAAATTGATAGTATACCAAAGATCCAATGTTTTTCCGATTGCGACGCAATTTTTCACAGCGAATCAAATTTTAATCTAGAATGACGTGAATTATTTTCTTTTGAAATCGGTTCAGATTTAGATATAGCTCCCATATATATTTTCGGACGATTTTATCTAAACGGTGCACCACATACCCAATATTTAACATATGTTAAGTTTTGTTGAAATCGGTTCAGATTTAGATATAGCTCCCATATATATTTTCGCCCGATTTAACAAAAAAGGTGTACCAATGTCCAAAAAGTTTGTCGGATTACTAAATTTTGCACAACGTACCAACATAACCCTATTATAACATGTATGAAGTTTTGTTGAAATCGGTTCAGATTTAGATATAGCTTCCATATATATTTTTGGCCGATTTTAACTAAATGGTGCACCACATACCCAATATTTATCCGATGGCCACGAAATTTTGCACAACGTACCAGCTTAACCCTATTATAGCATATGTTAAGTTTTGTTGAAATCGGTTCAGATTTAGATATAGCTCCCATATATATTTTCGCCCGATTTATCCAAAAAGGTGTACCAATGTCCAAAAAATTTGTCGGATTACTACGAAATTTGCACAACGTACCAACATAACCCTATTATAACATGTATGAAGTTTTGTTGAAATCGGTTCAGATTTAGATATAGCTCCCATATATATTTTCGGCCGATCCGATCCAATATTGATCCAATATTTATCCGATGGCCACGAAATTTTGCACAACGTACCAGCTTAACCCTATTTTAACATATGTTAAGTTTTGTTGAAATCGGTTCAGATTTAGATATAGCTCCCATATATATTTTCGCCCGATTTAACCAAAAAGGTGTACCAATGTCCAAAAAATTTGTCCGATTACTACGAAATTTTGCACAACGTACCAACATAACCCTATTATAACATGTACGAAGTGTTGTTGAAATCGGTTCAGATTTAGATATAGCTCCCATATATATTTTCGGCCGATTTTAACTAAATGGTGCACCACATACCCAATATTTATCGGATGGTCCAAAATATCCAAAAAATTTGTCCGATTGCGAGGAAATTTTGTATAACCCACTAGATTGAGCCTTGAATAACGTATGTTAAAAGTTGTTAAAATCGGTTCAAATTTGGATATAGCTCCCATATATATTTTCGCCCGATTTCATCTAAATGGTGCACCACACCCCCAATATTTATCCAATTGCGACAAAATTTTGCTCAACGTACCAAATTGAGTATATTTTAACATATGTTAAGTTTTGTTGACATCGGTTCAGATTTAGATATAGCTCTCATATCTATTTTCGGCCGATTTCATCTATATAGTGCACGAAAACCCAATGTGTGTCAGATTGCAACGACATTTTGCACAGGCTACTGAATTTAGTCCAAATTGCATTAAGTTTAGTTTGTTTTTAGTTTATGTTTTTATTTGAGTTTATGTTGTTCCAATAGCACCTCCTGCATATACACAGAGTGGTGTAGGGTATCATATAGTCAGGCCCGTCCGACTTTCGTCCTTTCCTTACTGGTTTTATTTAAAAAAAGATTTTTTTAAATATTTTTTGATACGTATATTTTTTTAAGAAGATTTTTCAAGGAATACGTAAAAATATTTGTGAAAAAATATTTTTCAAGCATCAACGTAGATTTTTTAAGAATTTTTTAAAAACTATTTTTTGATGCTAGAATTTTTTAAAGATTTCAAGAATTAAAATATTTATAAGAATCCTTCGACAAATGTTGTGTAATAAATCCTCGCCTTCAGTTGGCCTTGAAAAATATTCTTATATAAACCCTCGCCTTCAGTTAGTCCTTGAAAATAATTTTTAATAAATCCACGTCCTTGAAAATAGTTTTTAATAAATCCACGCCCTTGAAAACCATTTTAATAAATCCACGTCCTTGAAAATATTATTTAATAAATCCACGCTCTTGAACATATTATTTAATAAATCCACGTCTTTGAAAATATTTTTGCTTCTTAAATTTTTAAAAAAAAGTTCACGCTTGATTTTTTTATTAAAAAAAAAGGATTTTTTTTCAATATTGTTTGATGCGTATATTTTTTTAAGAAGATTTTTCAAGGAATACGTAAAAATATTTGTGAAAAAATCTTGTAAAAATATTCCTAAAGAAATGCACGACTTTTGTTGATGCTTGAACAAATATTCTCAAAAAAAACATCTATTTTGTTGATGCTTGAACAAATATTCTTAAAAAAAATCCAAGTCAATGGATTTATTAAATATTTTTTAAGGACAAGGAGAAGGCTTGGATTTATTAAAACTACTTTTCAAGAACCAATACAAAGGATGGATTGTTTTAAAAATATATTATAAAATATATAAAACCAACACAAGGCGTAGGTTTTTTTAAAATAATTTTCAAAAAACAACACAAGACGTGGATTCTTTAAAAAAATTTTCAAGCATCGACAGAAGGCGAAAATTTTTAAAGAATATGTTTTCAAGCATCAGGAGAAGCCGAAAATCAACCTAAAACATAAATTTTTTGAAAATATTTTAGTTTGGTTCTCACATCAATATTAACAGCATTATTATCGCTTTTCGATTATATTTTTATTTTTTGTTTTTATATAGTATGTTTTCATTAGTGTCATATAATTATGGCGAGTTTTGTGTCGTAGACACAAAAAAAACCAAACCATTTGACGGGGACGGATATATTTTTAAATACAAAGGCGGATCCTATCTGGGAACGATAATAGCAAAAAGCGGTAAATTAATGTAAGAGGTGTATTTAAAGTTATATTGACAGTTTCATTTCCTAGACAACAAGGAAGAACTTTCTAATTTAAAGAATATAAAAGAAGACGAAGCCAAAAGGCAAGAAACACAGCCAAAACAAAAGAATACTTATTCATCACAAGCGATGGAAACTGTAAGGGATTCTATACAAAATATGTCATCGTCCATAAATAATGAAATGTTACAAAGGTAAGTTAGTATATATATTTTTACAAGAACCTGCACAATTTTTCAGTTAAAATAAATTATATTCGATTTAGTTATAAATTTGCACGAATTGGTATAGATATGCAATAAGTTTAGATCAAATTGGTTCATATATAGATTCCAAATATGTGTAGTTCTTCTCTTGTTTAATACATATAAGAGATATTTGAAAAGAAAAAGAAGTAGTTTTTATTTACCTTCTTATTCTAAATAAAATAATCAAACAAGAACCACCTGATTATAAAACCTTACTTGGAATATGTTATATAACCCATATCTATGCCTACCCATGATGTAACTGTTGTTGCGTAGTTTTATTAACATTTTCATTGTTTACAGCCTAAAAACTTTTAGCTTGGTTGCTTACGACACTGATGATTATTTTGTTATTAACTCAAAAACTATAACACAACTCCAAGGCAGTGATTGTGTTGTGAAATATAGAGGTGGTTTTTATTCTGCAAAACTAATTGCATCTTATGGTGAGTTCGTCAATCAATATATGGATTTTGTATATTACTTTTAAAAAATAAGACATATACACTATTGAACAAAAACATATATTGCTTCCCAAACAGTTATTTAGCGTAGACATATTCGACACAATGATGATAATTTTAATTCACAACTAATCATTTTACTATATTTGGAAGTACCATGACGTTATCGTTTTGGAATTTAATTTACACTACACATGTTTTACATACACATATGATTACTTCAAAAATATAAATACAAGGTGTCTGAGATTGTCATTAATATACAGAAAAATGATAAAACATTTATAAATTTATATATAATTTTCCACATTTCATAATATAAATTTGTTATGAAGAAAACACTACTTTGAAAATAATTTTTTAATTGCATACTAGCGCATAACCCTTTTGTTGTTATTGACGATCTTAAACATTTAAAGTATTTGAATATCTGATGTAAACAAATTATATACGAGCAAAAATAAAAAAAAGTTTTTCTATAGATGACAAAAAGAAACTTCTGGAATTAAAGCGAATGAAAAGAAGACAAAGTCACTCAAAACATGTAGACCAAAAGCCTACATATGAAGTAAATAAATGTATACCAAATTCTACAACAAATGTCCAGAAGAGTTCAGAACCAGAAATTATAAATGACAATTCAATGGAACTACAAAATAAAAACCATCACGAAACATCGGGAGAAGATTCAAATTATTCATCATATGTAAGAAATCACGAAATAATATATAATTCTGGTAGTGAATGTTCTTTAAATGCTTTTGACGTAAGTTTGGCAAAAAACAAGGGCATCTTAAGAACTCTACAGTCTTACAAAAAAGCACGATGAACTCGAAAGATTATAATCCCTCTAAAAGTAACAAAAATGACACACTACTAGACGAATCGGAGCCTGTTATAACGAAAGTGACTGGTATTGAAATTCCTTCATCTGAAAATCATTCCAAACAAAGTGATCATATATTGTCGGACACTTCAGAGTCAACGTGGGATGAAACTTCATCAAGTGGCGAATCTGTTTCTTTTAAAAATGCAGTGCTTAAAACCCAACGACTAAAAATTCTACTGCTATTAAATCATCAGGTAATAGAAGTACGTTGGCTACAGAAAGTTTTGATTCCTCTATGCCATATAATGACAAATCTGTGTCAGAATACCTACCGGATTCATCTTTACAAAATACAACAGTAAATACAAGTTCCATTGTAGAAGTTAACACCGCTCCAATTCAGATAGATTCGTTAAGAGTTCCGTTTTCAAAATCAAAACTAAAAAGACATTTTTGCATGTATTGCAAAACATTGCAGTGCAAAATTGCTCGACATTTATTCTTAAAACATAAAAACGAAAATCTAGTTAAACAAGCAATGGCACTTCCCAAATTGAGCAAAGAACGTTTAAAATTAATTGAAGACATTCGAAAACAAGGAGATTTCATACACAATACATGCAGTGATCAGAACACTGGTATTTTAATTGTATCTAGACGACAACAACAAAAAACAAACCGAAAAGCCGACGACTATATATGCTGTCCAAAATGTAAAGGATTTTATACAAAATTTGCATCACGACAACACAGTAGGAAATGTGTTCAAAAACACAACTCCAGATCAAATTTTATTGAAGGGCGAAAATTAACTCAATATATACACCATGTTGCGAGTCCTGCAATGAAAACAACGATATTTCCTGTTCTCCGAAATGATAACATAACCAAAGCAATACGTTTCGACGAATTAATTATCCGATATGGTAACAGATTATCCGAAAAACTTTCTCAAAGTCACCACCATGATCAAATCCGAGCAAACATGCGCCTTTTGGGTAGATTTAAAATAGAATTTATGAAAATTGTGCCGGAGATATCCGAATTGAAAGATATATTCAAACCATATTTGTTCGATAATGCTATTGAGGCACTTCGAAAAACAGCAAAGTGGACCTTTGATAAAGGATTCGCAACGCCAGCTGTTGCCACATCCTTGTCATCTTTAATAAAAAAATGCGCACGGATACAACGAAATGAATTTATTAAATGTCAAAATGAAGATTCTAAATGTAACTTAGACAATTTTATTTCTCTTTGGGTAGAGGAAACACCCGTACAAATCAACAAAAAAGCTCTGGAAGATCTCGAAAATCGGAAAAGGACAAAAACTAATGACTTGCCAAGTAAAAACGATATCAAAATTTTGTATGATTATTTAAGAACTATAATGCTTGATTCCTTCGCCGAATTATGCTTAAACTACAATTTCATTTCCTGGAAAAAACTTTTGGAATCTACATTAATATTTATCCAAGTATTCAATCGACGAAGAGCTGGGGAAATTGAAAGGTTAACAATTGAAAACTTTAATAAAAAGGAACAAATAACTGATTGTGTAGAAGCTGGCATGTTGGAAAATATCTCTAAACAATCCATTAATTTCGCCAAACAATTCGTTCGAATCACGTTACGGGGAAAGTTAGGAAGAACCGTGAGCGTTTTGCTCGACCCACTGTGTATTAAGTCCATTAACATTATTCTTAAATTCAGAGAAAAGGCTGGCATTTCCAAGACAAATCCATATATATTTAGTGCGCCTGGTAAGTCCAGCTTAGCAAAAAGTTACTGCAGAGCATGTCCTTTGCTGAGAAAATTTGCATCAGAGTGTGGAGCATTGATTCCCGATACACTTAGAGGCACAAAACTGCGAAAACACATAGCAACATATACCTCATTGCTGAACGTGCAAGAATCGACGGTTGATAGACTTGCTAACTTTTTAGGCCACCACAAAGACATCCACAAAAGCATATATAGGGTACCGGTGCCAGTAGCCGAAATTACAAGCGTGTCAAAAATTTTATTATCGGCTGCTGGGTGCAATTTGCAAAATAGTATCGAAACTAGTAATTCTAATAGAAATATAGTTTCTGATAACGAAGGGAGTATGCAATATGAAGGTTTGGAGGAAAACTCTGAAGATTCAGAAACAGATATGGTAAAACCGAAGAGACGTAGTAGTAAGTAAAAATTGTAGAAACTATAATTCTTAATATTTTTGATTACTTAGCTGTATTTTAACCAACTTAGTACTACACAAATAACAATATTTTCAATATTTTAGCATCCCCTTTCGGACGGACAATACGCAAGAGGTGGAGCAGTGCTGAAATTGATTCCGTTAAAGGAACATTTGGAGATATTTTGGCCTTGGAGAAGTTGCCTTCCATAAAGCAATGTGCAGCAGCTATAGAAAAAAATATCTGCCTATGTAAAAGAACACCGGCTCAATTAAAAACATGGATAGACAACCAGCGAAAAAAAGTTGCCGTTCGAGGAAATTAAACAATTTGGTAACAAGTTTTAGTATTAATTTATAATCTGTTTCTAACAGCTTGTTTTTCAGATTTCCCCACTTTCAACACACAGTCACCGCCACAACATTCCACGGACCCAGTGTTTTCTTACTTTTTTTAGTGATATAAGCTTTTCATGCATATGAAATACTCTTGCCCATGTATGGGATATGTTCACACACACGCACACACAATTACAATAATTTTATTTCAAAATATTTTTATCATGTTTTATTAATTCTATGAATGCTGTAAAATTTTTATTGACGATTAATTTAAATTTAAAGCCTATTCTTTAATAAGTATTGAAAACGTGTTTTTTTATGAATAAAAATATTCATTATTAATTTATTTTGGCTTATGTTATTATTATAGTACTTATATATATTTTTTTATAAAATACATCTTTAGCCGTTTTCGTGTACTCATTTCATTTAATTTGTCATTTCTTAATTCACTTCATGGTAATATAAAACCGACCGAAAACTTATAATAACTAAATACAGTACCCAAAAAATACTTACTTATTTACAATAACTTAAAGAAATTAATACTTATGAGCACTAAATGGTACTATATTTGGTACAATTTGATTTTTAGGTGAACTAATAGAGCTAGAATCATTAAATTTGGTGTCAGGATCACTGTTGAGGTGTAAGCTTGAGATATGTAAAAGATTTAGAAATTTGTATTAATGTGTACTAAATTTGGTACAATTTGAATTATGAGTGAACCGATAGAGTTGAAATTCTGAAACTTGAATTTGGGATCACTGTGGGGTTGGGTATGTAAGAAGTTTTAGAATTTTGTACTAAGTGTACCAAATTTGGTACAATTTAAATTGAGAGTGAAGCGATAGAGTTGGAATGTTGAAATTTTGAGGTGTAGGATTGGGGTATGTAGGAAGGTTTGGAAATTGGTACTACTATGTACTAAATTTAGTACAATTTGATTTGTGGGTGAACAGATAGAGTTGGAATCCTGAAATTTTGATTTAGGAACACTGTGGAGGTGTATTATTGGGGTATGTAGGAAGGTTTAGAAGTTGGTACTACTGTGTTCTAAATTTGGTACAATTTGAATTGTGGGTGAACATATAGATTTGGAATCAGAAACCTGGATTTTGTTTCACTGTGGAGGTGTAGGATTGGGGTATGTAGAAAGTTTTGGAAATTGGTACTACTGTGTACTAAATTTGGTACAATTTGAATTGTGGGTGAACCGATATAGCTGGAATCCTGAAACTTGGATTTAAGATCACTGTGGAGTGTAGGATTGGAGTATGTAGGAAGTTTTGGAAATTGGTACTACTGTGTTCTACATTTTGTACAATTTGAATGGTGGGTGAACAGAACAGAGTTGGAATCCTGAAATTTTGATTTAGGAACACCGTGGGGGTTTAGGATTGGGGTATGTAGGAAGGTTTGGAAATTGGTACTACTGTGTACTAAATTTGGTACAATTTGAATTGTGGGTGAACCTATAGAGTTGGAATCAGAAACATGGATTTTGGGTCACTGTGGAGGTGTAGGATTGGGGTATGTAGGAAATTTTGGAAATTGGTACTATTGTGTAGTAAATTTGGTACAATTTGAATTGTGGGTGAACCAATAGATTTGAAATTCTCAAATTTGGAATCATTGTGGGGGTGTAGGATCGGGGTATGCAGGAAGTTTTGTTGGATGGTTGCGGAGTACTAAATGGTACTCAAATTCATTTTATGGTAGATATTAATGTGCAGATTTATTTGTTTTTCTGACATATGCAGTATTTTGTGAAAATAACATAATATGTTAATATATGTTTAAATTATTCCCACATTCGCTAACGAAGTAACAGGTATATGCTATATATGATATATGTAATGAATTCGGAAATTCGTACTAGAATGGTACAAAAAGTACTAAATAAGATAACATTTGTATTTGGCGAACCGGTAAAGGTAGAACTCTTAAATTTTAAATGAGGGTCACTGATGGAGTGTAAAATATATATAGCAAAGAGTTTTTTGGACATTCGAACTATAAGTATGCGAAAAGTTCTAAATTTGGTACAATTTCGTAGCATGTGAATGAATTGAGCTAAAAATTTGAAATGCGAATTAGGGTTGAGATGTAGGGTCTATTTAAAGAGATTGTTTTTGAAAGAGTGACTCATGGGTACGAAAAGTAATATATTTGGTACAAATTTTTTTCGGAGGAACAAATCGAGCTGGAATCCTGAAATTTGAAATTAACATTACCGTCGGATTGAGATTTGTACGTAATTTTGGAATTGTTTACTTATGTGTACGAAAAGTACTAAATCGGACTATAATTGGTACAATTTAGATTTGGGTGAACCGATAAAGCGGGAACAATGAAAATTGGAGTCAGGATCATTGCAGAGGTGTAGGATTAGGTTCAGGATTCGGTTTAAGAAATTAATACTTTTGGCTACTAAGGAGGAGGTGTAAGATTGAGATATGTAGGAAATTTTAGAAATTTGTACTAATGTGTACTTAATTTGGTACAATTTAAATTGTGGGTGAACCGATAGAGGGAATCCTGAAACTTGGATTCAGGATCACTGTGGGTGTGTAAGATTAAGATATGTGGGAAGTTTTAGAAATTTGTACTACTGTGCACTAAATGTGGTACAATTGGAATTGTGGGTGAACCGATAGAGTTTGAATCCTGAAACATGGATTAAGGATCACTGTGGCGGTGTTGGTTTGGTTAAGTAGGATGTTTTGGAAATTCGTACTACTGTGTGCTAAATTTAGTACAATTTGAATTGTGGGTCAACCGATAAAGTTGGAATCCTGAAACTTGTATTAAGGATGACTGTGGGGGTGTAGGATTTGGGCATGTAAGAAGTTTTGCAAATTGGTACAACTATGTACTAAATTTGGTACAATTTGAATCGTGGGTGAACCAATAGAGTTGGAATCCTGAAACTTGGATTTAGGATCACTGTGGGGTGTATGTTTGGGTTAAGTGGGTTGGGTTCGTACTACTGTGTACTAAATTTGATACTGTTTGTATTTGGTTGAACCGATAAGACTGGTATCCTGAAATTGGGGAAATAAGCTTTTCAATGGATTATATGAAGTATATAGTAAGGGAAAGCAATGGAAATGAAATCGATTATATTATTTCTGTTGGGTGGTTGAGGTGGGTACTTATGGAATTTTATATGAATGTGTATTAAATGTCGTTTAAAAACGACAACTTATTGAACTTTGTATACACACGTGGTGTTGTGTGATTATTGTGAACCCCCGATGCAACGAAAACACAATGTAAATAGTGAAAAACCGCGAAAAAGCCTTTCAATTTATAAACGTAAGAAGGGAATATATATTCACTACTTATTTCAATCAACTTAATAAAAATCTGGATACTATAAAGAGACTTTGAAGACCGCGAAAAGAAAATCAAAGTCCCTTCATATATTTCGATTTGCACGAAATTTGGCACCGGGTAGTGAATTAGGTCCAGAATGATATGTGCTAAGTTTCGAGAAAATCGATTCAGATTTTATATAGCTCTCATATATAGTTTTGTCAGATTTTATGTAAAAGGTGCACCAAAGCCCCCCATTCTCGGTGTCATATTTTTTGTTATTCCGATCTACTCTTGAAGATATAGCCGATTAATTGAGTCAGCATCAAGTGACGGCAATAGTGATTCTTAAACGCATTTCTCGAATCCTAATAATCCAATCGGTTTATAAATGTCAAAAATGTTGTTGTAATGTTGAACCAAAAAATTAAAAAACAAAATTATAAATGAAAATATATTCACTACTTATTTCAATCAACTTAATAAAACTCTGGATACTATAAAGAGACTTTGAAGACCGCGAAAAGAAAATCAAAGTCCCTTCATATATTTCGATTTGAACGAAATTTGGCACCGGGTAGTGAATTAGGTCCAGAATGATATGTGCTAAGTTTCGAGAAAATCGATTCAGATTTTATATAGCTCTCATATATAGTTTTGTCAGATTTTATGTAAAAGGTGCACCAAAGGCCCCCATTCTCGGTGTCATATTTTTTGTTATTCCGATCTACTCTTGAAGATATAGCCGATTAATTGAGTCAGCATCAAGTGACGGCAATAGTGATTCTTAAACGCATTTCTCGAATCCTAATAATCCAATCGGTTTTTTAGTACCCAATTAATAATAATAAAACATTTTTTATATTTTTTTGTTGTTGTATAATTAATTTATTTATTGCCATAAACTTAATAATTTTGTGTTTTTATTTTTTTGGGAAGATTTTTTTTGAGGCGGAAATAAAAATTTTGAAGTGACGGAGGATATTTTAGCCATAAGTAAAAAAAAAAATAGATTAAAAACAAGTGAGCCGAGCAGTATAGTCGAACGGGGCCGACCATATGATACCCTACACAACTTCAACGAAAATTTGAATTCCTGTAGTTCTATATTCTGAGCTTGAGCAATATTTCGCAATATTTGCACCCTCTTGGCCGACTAGAGGTAAACAAATATTCAGTACAGCCCTTCTAAGTGCTTGTCTAGATTCCCTTCACCGTGGGTTGTGTTGTGCTATTCGGCCTGTGGCCTACAAATCGACTCGTAAAAACACAAAAAAATAAGTTTTTGGTCCACTTCAGCCCAAAATTATTATCTGATCATCACCGAAAATTAAAGGCGTTGTCCTTGACCATAACTGCAACCTCATGGAGCATTTCAAAGCGATCACCCCTATATTTCCGCCCTCCAGTGTGGTAATGGTTTACTAAATAATATTTGAATACCTAAGCACCTGTTAATAATTAAGTGTAACTCCCGCATCCGAGCTATATCTAAATCTGAACCGATTTTCACGAAACTTAGCGTACATCATTCTAGTCTTAATTCAGTGCGCTGTGCCAAATTTCATGCAAATCGAAAGGTATATAGGAACTTTGGTGCCCCATTTACATAGAATCGGACGAAACTATATATGGGAGATTTATCTAAATCTGAACCGATTTTCACGAAACTTAGCACACATCATTCTGGACCTAATTCAGTACTATATGCCTACTATATACTATATATAAATTTCGTGCAAATGGAATGATATATAGGGACTTTGGTGCACCATTTACCTTAAATCGGACGAAACTATATATGGGACCTATATCTAAATCTGGACCGATTTTCTCAAAACTTGGCAGACATCACTCTAGGCTCACTTCAGTACGTTATGCCAAATTTCGTGCAAATCGAAGGATATATAGGGATTTTGGTACACCATTTACATGAAATCGGACGAAACTATATATGGGAGCTATATCTAAATCTGGACCGATTTTTCCCAATTTCAATAGGGTTTGTTTTTGGACCAAATAAGT